GCCTCCTTCTCCGGCAGAGCGTCTGGTGGATTCGAACCATGTTCCTCTGGGATTGCAGTGCAGCTTCTTGCCACTAGGCCACCAGAGTTCCCCAAGGGCTCCGGTTTTTAAAGCTTCTAAAATAATGTATTAGCAAAAGCTCTGATTCAAAATCCTACTGTTCGCGTCACGCTGTGATGGTCAGTCTCTGTGGAGCGTAAAGTACTCTCTGGTATCCTCTCTACGCAGGTTGCTATCCCTCTGACTCTTCACACTGCTCTCCACCTCCACCATCTTCCCTCTCCCTTTCCTCCTTTTTTTACTATCCTCCTTTCTTTATATCCTCCTCTCTCTTTTCAATCACTCTCTTTCTCCATATACTCTTGCCTCTCTATTCAACTGGCTCTCTAACCTTCTGCCTCTCTATCCTTCAGCCTCTATTCAATCCTCGACCTGGGTTTTAAAAAAAATCTGTTTGGGCCCTCCAGCCATGTTAATTTGTGTTTATAATGAACATTCTCCTAAGTAGTATAGCACTGGTCTGTCAATTTGCTGTACTGAGCAAACTTGGTATTGCTGTGATATTCAACACTGTGCCACTGGTGTCTCAAATGCTATAATGGTTACACATGGTGAACAGTGTTTGGTGGAGCTCCCAGATTGAGACAAGCTTGGAAGCACGAGTGGCATCCACTCCCTAAACAATATGCCTCTGGAAATGTTATACACTTAGAGAAATGACAATAGTTATAGGACAGGGTTAAGGTCTTTTGTTAATAAGGTCGCTATGAGTCATGATTGACTCAACGACACATAACAACAACAACTCTTCGGCTATAAATGCTCCTCTGAAAACCAATTTGGCCTCAGAGCACAGGTTTTCTTTTCTATTTTAATACAATTTTTTTTCTTTTTAATTGTGATTTTAAGAAAAGCGTACAAAAAATTTCAGATTTTCTCATTCATTGTATTGTACAAAGCACAGGTTTTCATAGGTAGTACACTTTCTTGTTAATTTCTAAAACACTTGTGATTTTTAGTTTAGAACTGGGTATATTTGAATGACAGAGGGACAATCAAATTACCGAAATTCTTAGAATAAAAACATATCCGTAATAAGGCTGAGAGTTTGGAGGAAACAATTACAATTGTTTATTGACTACTCTATTTGATATTGGTGTGGTGGTTGGTTTTTGTTTTTAACCTAGACAGACGTTTTACTGCCAAAGCTACCAAGCTACCTAGTCACTCCCTCTAACATTCTAGTTCTGAGGCAGAGTTCTCTATTCTATTCCATAAACAAACTCTTGTTAAGAGTCTCTGACTCATAGTGCCAAGATGAAACTGAAGCAGGACTCCTTTCTGTGGTACCTCTATCTGGACAAAATATACTGCCTGCTCTCTGTGAGGAATGTGCGGGCCCTGATGGCATACTTTAACCTCTTGGATGTACATCACAAACACACCTTGAATGGTCAGTACCTCAGGAACATTTCCTTGAAGTAGTTGCCTGGTTTTAAGTTAATGGGTAGGTAAACTTGCAGAACCAGAAAAGATGTCATTAGCAAATATTTATCTTACCTTCTACATGAAGCACAGAGAGAATTGTTGACGAATAGTTGAGATTGTGTCTAACCATTGGTAGGCTCCAAGGTCAGGCATCCTGGGTTTGAATGCTAACTTTACCCATTGTCCCTGGTGAATCTGGAGAACATGTCATCATCCTCTATAAGTCTCATTTTCCTCATCTGTAACTTTAATAGTGAGAGACTCTTCATTATTTAAAGAAAAAATAATTAAAAGAAGTAATGTGTGCCTAATGCCAAACCATAAGAATTTAATAAATATTTTGTCACTTTATGATAGTTACTATTAAGATAGGGTACTCTAGTGGTCTAGTGATAAGAGATAGTGCTTCCAACCCAAAGACATGTAACAACAACCAGCTGACCCATGGGAGAAAGATGAGAAATCTCCTCCTGCTGTGATTTACAGCTTCTGAAAATCAACTAGAGGGTCAGCTCTGAGTCAATTCCAACTCAACAGCACACAGCAACAACAGCGCTATTATGAGTAATATTCCTGGGAGTTTAACCACTCAGGCATCAACTTTCACAACTCCTCAGTAGGACTTTATTTCTCATCCGTCAGATGGGTGGTTTGGGTCAGATACTCTGTAAAGGGTCATGTGATTCTTGGTACTTGTGAGTGATTCATAATATTGACTCTCTAGACCCTGTTTGAGTTCACAAACTAGTAAGAGTTAATGAGCTCTAGTAGCCTAGTAGCAAGAGGCTGCACTGCAATCCTGAAGGCGCGTGGTTCGAGGTCACCAGCTGCTCTGCAGGAGAAGGATGGGCAGTCTCCTCCCGTGTGATTAACCGCCTCTGAAAACCCACCAGAGCGTCAGCTCTAGGATACACACAACAGCATAATACCTTAATACAATTTAGGTTCTTTTTAGGATAAACAAAGAAAGAGAAGAGTCAGGACTGGCTCCCTGGGAATGGGTTCGGTTTTTATTTGGTTGCTTATTCCGACCATAGAGAGAGATAAATGCAATTTTTTTAAAGGAAAGTTTTTGTTTTGTTTTGTTTGTCCTCCTATCCCACTATGAAGATTTTCAAATATATTTTGTCCCATTTTAAGGAAAGATAATAGAAACAGAAAACAACTTCTCATACTTTGGCCTCAGTTTTTCTCTTTACATAAAGATTCACAGACAACATGTCACCAAATCTTGACAGTGACCCTGCCCTAGACAGTCAACAAGATGCATCGACACGGTGACTGCAGCAGGGGGCTCCAGTATGTCAGGGATGAAGACTATGGTGCAGGATAGGCAGGGTTCAGATCTGCAGTTCATAGGGTCTATATGAGTCATAGTTGACTAGTCTTGGAGGAAGTGTAGAGGCAAGGACGGTGAAACTTTGAATCATAAACTTTGGGCATGTTGTCAGGAAGGGCCAGTCCTTGGAAAAAGACATCAGGCTGGGAAAGGTGGAGGGTCAGAGAAAGAGAAGACTCTCAACAAGATGGATTGACACGGTGACTGTAACAATGACCCGGGCACATCAGATATGGTGAGGATGGCACAGGGAAGGACAAGGTTCAGATGTGTTATTCATTGGGTCGCTGTGAGGAGTAGTAGTCTTGATGGCAACTAACAACAGTAATAGGTAGACAACTGCTGAACACCTGGCTGAAAATAGCCACGCTGGGCCTAAGATCCAGGGCTTCCCAACTCAAACGCCCACACGCTCTCTCTCCCTGGGATTTCTGCTGAGGAGATGACCGCCTGAGGACAGAACCACTCCCGGGGATATAGTTCACAGAGCGGTGAAGTCCTGCTCATGTCTTCTGGTCACTTGGGGACCAGACAGTGGCTTGAAAGATTGAAGAGACAGCCTGAAGGTTTGCCTTCCTGCGAGGTGGTGACTTTAATAATGTCTTGGGGACTGGAGAGGGCTAGACTCAGCTGGTTTTAAAACTGTCTTTATTCATTAGCCACCTGTTGATTTGTCACAGTGTCTTGCATGTTTCTATGACATTGGGAACTTTGCCAATCGGGATTTCAAACAGCAGCAGGTTCACTCGTGGTGGACAGGTTTCAGCAGGGTTTCCAGATTAAGATAGACTAGAAAGAAAGGCCTGGTGACCTGCTTTCAAAAATTAGCCAGCCACAAACCCATCACTGGGAAGGCATTAAAAATGCAGAATCTCAGAGCCATGACGGGCTTTCTGGGTCAGAAGCCACATTTTCACAAGATCCTCAAGTAAACCCATACAGTTCAAGGTGTGCTGATATAGGTCAATGCATACTTGGACTTTATTATAGAGGAGGGAGTGGTGACTCAGTGGTCAAGTGCGTGGATACTAAGAGGTCAGTGGTTTGAACCAACCAACTGGTGCAAGGGAGAAGAAGGATGAGGCCATTAGCTTCCATAGAGATTTTCCATTTTAGAAACTCTCAGGGGTCATTTTGTTTTGCAGAGTGAGTCAGAATCAACTAAAAGGCAACAGGTTTGGTTTCTAAAATGAATTATAATACTAGTTTCCTTCTAGTGTTGTTAGGGTTCAGTGTGAAGTGTTTAAGGTACCAAACCTGTAGTGTTTAATAATGTTAGTTCCGTTTTCCACAGCCAAATGCATTTTATTTATACTATCATAAGGATTGTTTATACTTTCATAGAAAAGGAATTATTTTTACATTTTTCTTAAGTTCTTTATATATATTTAAAGTAGATTGCCTGGCCTTTCTTTCAAACTACCCCCAGATGAATTTAAGTGAGCTCTGGTGGCGTAGTCTGGGAGGAGTTGTGCTCCTGACCCAAAGGCAATGCATCTCTGGTAGTTTGAATCCACCAGTGGCTCCGCTGGACAAAGATGGACAATCTCCTCCAGTGTGAACTATAGACTCAGGAAACCTGCTGGAGGGTCAGCTATGAGTTAGTTTTGGGTTGACAGACAATGAGCTGAGTGAATGTGGATTAATTTGAACTGTCAACCTTTCGGTTCGTAGCCAAATACTTATCAAGTACATAATCGTTTGCACCACCCAGAAAGCCCAGGTAAAATACCTGCTTCTCCAAGGAAGTCCCAGTGAGAACTCATCTCTCCTCCCAGAAGCAAGGGGGTCTAATGTTCATCCCTGCCTTGCTCTCCTGAATATGAGTGGGAGTCAGGAAGCAAGAATCAAACTTAGAGAAAGGTGACAAGTGTTCAGAATCAGGGAAGGTATAGTAGGAAAGTCTGAAGCAAAAGTTTTCTCAGGTCCGCAAACTAGACTCATTGCCATTGAGTTGGAATTGACTCATAGCTGGCCAGCTCTGAAAGTGGGTTTTCAGAGGCAGTGGATGGCACTGGAGGAGATTGTCTGTCTTTCTCCCACACGGCAACTGGTGAATTCAAACTCCCTGCCTTTGGGTTGGAAGCACAACTCCTTATCACTAGGCCACCAAACCAGCAAGTTTTCAAAACTGCCAACATTTCTGTAACTGCAATGACTCCAGGTAGTGTAACAATGAAATGTGTGTCTGCTAAACCAGAAGTTGGCAGTTTGAAGCCACCAGCAACTCCAAGATGGATAGAGAGAAAAACAACCCAACAGCAACAACCCAGCAGCTTGGTAATTTTTCCTAAAGATTGCACCTTATAAACACAGGGGGCCAATTCCATTCCAGCACATAGGTTTGTTCTAAGTCAGAATCAACTTGGCAGTACATAACAACCAATTGTTCAGCATTTTGGAAGCGTGTCGGAATAATCCATCTTTCTGCTTCCCTACACCTTAACAGATGTGCTGTTCTTTCACTTCATGCATCACGTGACGAACCTGACCAAGTCCCAGATCATGATTACATTTGACATGCTGGACTGGAATGCGATAGGCGAGATTGGTTTTGACCAGTTCTACATTTTGGTTTGCATTCTGCTGTCACATGAGGCAAGTACCAAGGGAGGATATGGGGCCTCTGAGGAGAGAGGGTTTGGTGGCTGCGAACATCTTGCTAATGGCAGCTCAGAATTAAGGACGTGACAAGATGGTTCTCTCAGTAAGAAACAAAAAGATGGCAGAGAATAAATAGTTTGGATTCCCAAAAGGTCCATCCGTAAGCGAGATGTTTTCAACAGCGTCCCCTCAGCTCCTGCTGCTGAGGCTGCCTCTGCCCTTGTCCAGCCCTCTCACACGGCTTCCCCTTCTATCCCCAGCTGGGCATCCTGGCGTGGCATGCTCTTCCACACTTATTTATCTGATGATCCCCTAAGACTAATCTCAAGTCTCTCACTCCGTCTGTGGTTGTTTTCCTCAGTGAGTCAGTCCTCTGAGGGAGTGGAAGACAGAGGTGAGGCATGCTCTCTCAAGGAGTTGGACTAACACAGTGGCTCCAACCATGGACTTAAGGGACAGTGGTGATTGCAAGAATGGATCAGGGTCAGACATGGCCTCGATCTGCGGTACTAAGTGGCCTTACGAGTTGTAGAGGACTTGGCGGCATGTCACCACCACCACCACTACCTTATTTTTGAGGGACCCTCCTCAGGTTGGGTCTATTTACCTTCCTCCGACTCTTTGAATGTGGTCACCATTTTATTGTCAGTGTTATGATGCTTCACGAGCAGGTTTCCACTCTGAGAAAACACATTGCGGTGATGAGTTACATCCAAGAGTAGAACTGCCTGCTTCAGAGGCGGCTCAGGCCCCTTGAGCACAGAACTGGTGTGGGACCTGATGCATGGATGGCAGATGCCTGATCTTAAAGGCCATGATCGTGCCTCCTAGTTTTCTAGGGACTAGATGAGGCTTGACGCTCCAAGCTTAGAAAGTGGCACCAACACCACTCTTCCTTGTCTGATGTATTTCCCTCAAAACAGAGCCATCTGGAAGAACAATTTATCTATCGCCATTCCCGGCCTATCTTTGAGCTGCTCGACCTGGATGGGGACCTGAGAATTGGCCTAGACAACTTCCAGATGTACAGATTTCTCTTCAATATTAAAAGACAGGAACTCACAGAGCTCTATCACGACTTTGATTTCACTGGGGACCATGTAAGTGCAGGTCCCAAAGCAGAGTGTGTAGCCTCTGTTCCAAAAGTAGAGGACAGTGTCTGACCAACCACAGCGGAGGGCTGAGGGGGAGGCTGGGGAAATCCTGCTCAAAGAGGCATATTGCTAAGATCTGGAGAGGATCCCTGGGGGTGCTGTGTAGCACTCCTCACTGATGGATCGCTCAGCAGGTTGAACCCCACCAGCAGCTTTGGGGAAGAAAGATCTGGGATTTGTTCTTGTCAAGAGAGTACAGAACAGCTCTGGAAATCCCAGGGGGCAGTTCAACAAGGTAGTAGTAGACAAGGTCAAGAGGAAACTAGAGATTTATAGGTCCACAGCAGAGTTAAGATTGAACAAAGCGCTGCATTTTATATGTAGCAAAATGTGCCCACATTTAGAAAGGGAGTAATTAGTTTGGGTGTTATAGATCTGAGTAAGTAGAAGGGAAGGGATGCTATGACGGGAATGCAGTGATGGTGAGTTCAGCACATTTTTCCTATTTGAAGAGGACCTCCTTGCTGGGGAAGCAATCAGGAGCTAAGGCTGAGAGGGCAGGACAATCACACTGTGAAGAGACTTAGCCAGCCAGTGGCAAGTGCCTCTCCATGAGTCAGAAGCAGGAAGCTGGCCTTCCCCAGTACTTCTCTATTCTTGATCACTCCCTCACCCATCACTGTGGAGTCACAACTGACTCAAAGCTGATGCCCCAGTGGATTGTCAAAGACTACAAGGCAAATGTGAGGGGATCGCCCATTTGAGTTCCTCTGAGCAGCGGGTGGGATTCAAGCACCTGTCTTTGGTTTATGAGCACAATTCTTAATCTACTATGCCCACAATTGTTGAGTCCAATGAGTTTTCAGTGGCCATAAGTCACGCAGGAGATTACCTATCTTTCTCCCATGAAGTTGCTGGTGGACTCAAACCGCATACCTCTGGGTTGACAGTGCAATTCCTTACCACTAAGCCACCCGAGTTCCCTTTATACCTAGGTCCTAGACTCTAACTATGTTTTAATTACTTAGCTTCTTTAAGTTTCCAAGGTTTTCTTTGAGAAATTATGACAATCCTGCTATCTGGGGCAGGGGGAATCCCTAGAAAACCCTCCCTGAAGTAATTTTTCTTTCTTTTTCAACAAAAGCGCCTTAATTACAAAGAGTTTAAGCTGTTTACTATCTTCTCCGTTGACAAATACCAAGGGAAGCAGAAAGCCAAGAAAGAGAAAGCGGGGGAGAAACTGCTCAAAATCAACACCACTACAAAGTGATGTGCTCTCAAGGAATATCCTTTGGGAAAAAGAACTTGAAAGAACATGCGAATAAAACTGTCACTATATTACAACAAATAAATTCAGAATGCAAAGTGGTTGTTTTTGCATCAACTATTAATTGCATGTTGTTGTTGTTGTTGTTGTTTTGTTCCATAGAGTCGGAACCGACCCATAGCCGACCTTCCAGTGGGTTTTCAGAGGCAGTTAGTTGCATCGGAGGAGATTGCCCATCCTTCTCCCGCGGAGCAGCTGGGGGCCTCAAATTTCATGCTTTTGGGGTTGTGGTGCAACTTCTTGTCACTAGGCCACCAGCGCTCTCTATTAATTGCATGATAATTAATCAACATGCTCTTAATTTTATGGACCTATTGATTTCACTTCAAAAGCATAATAGATGCAGAAAAGATTGAAACTGTCTACAACCTTATTTGGATCTATAATCAATACACTTGGTACCAGAAGTCAGAGACCTCTCCAAATTATTGAGGAGCAATGATGTTAGTTAGAGGACTAAGGTGTGCCTGATTCAGGCCACGGTCTTTTCATTCACTTACTAAGCATCTGAGAGCCAGACAATGAATAATGATGACAGAAGAATTGATACCTTTGAGCAGTGGTGTTGGAGAAGAGTACTGAATATACCATGGACTGCCAAGAGAACTAGCAGAAAGTGAAGCTGATAGCAATCCTATGAACAATCTATGGAGGCAAGGGTGATAAAGCTTTATCTCATGTATTTTGGGCATGTTGCTAGCTAGGTGAGGCTATTCTTTAGAAAGGGACATTATGCCTTGAAAAGTGGAGTGTTGGCAAAAGAGAGAAAGACTCTCAACTACATGGACTGACACAGTGACTGCAGCAATGGGCTCAAGTATGTCAGAGATATGAGGATGGCACAGGCTAGGACAGGGTTCAGATTTGTTGTTCATAGGATTGCTATGAGTTGTACTTGACTTGATGGCATCTAACAACATTGACTGTACTAGGGAGCTCTGGCAGTTTAGTCTGCATGGAGTTAGCTGCACTTCTAACCTAATGGCTGCTTCTCTCTGCTGCTCCATTGGAGAAAGATGAGCAATCTCCCCCTTTTTACAGCTGAGAAAAACCCACCGAGGGTCAGCTCTGAGCCAGTTACAACTCCACAGCAGCGAGATGGTGTTGAGTGACCGCACTCAGAACTCAGAGTGAATCACTTTATCACCGTGTTTCAATTCGGTTCTATTTTTCAGATCCACTCTGTTCATGAGGGCCCTCTGTACTCATATTCTTACCAACACTTAACTGAGAAAAGCAGTTGACAGAAAGTGAACCTTTCCTGACGTTTTTCACTAGTGACCCAATACTCTCAGAATCCATCCCATCCTCCCAGTCCTTAGGCTGATACACTTGGCTGAAAGAAACATCAGATTGACTAGTGGTGAATTACCTCCAAATCTGAGGAAAATAGACTTTTAAGGCAGTCTTTCCTCTGTTGTTGTTGTTGTTGTTAAGTGCTGCCCAGGGACCAAGATTCATTGCAACCCTATGAACAATAGATCTGAATCCTGCCCTATCCTGGCCATCCTGATCATCTCTGACACACTGGGGTCCACTTTTACAATCACTGTGTCAATCCATCTGCCTTCAATAACCCTTGGCTTTTCCAAGCATGATGTCCTTTTCTAAGCACTGGCTCCACCAAACAACACGCCCCGAGTATGGGAAGTTTCACTGTCCTTGTCTCCAAGGAGCACCTGGCTGCACCTTTTCTAAGACAGACTTGTTTGTCTTTTTGGCCATCTATGGGATATTCAACACTCTTCTCCCACACAACAGCTCAAGGGTATCAATTCTTCTGTCATCTTTATTCATTGTTCTCTTGCTTATTCATTGTCCAACTTTCAGAAAAGCATAGCAAGTGGTTAAAAGGGCCATGTTTTGGGTTAGGTGTATGTTAGTTTTAAAATGGACATTTTTCCTATTCAGCATTTTGGGGAGAGAGGTGCCTGAGAGCAGACTTTCCCAATTCCTATGTCTTTTGATTTCTCAGCTGCTGGTGCCAAGGGTGTTGATTGTGGATCCAAGCAGGATGAAGTCACTGACAAGTTCTGTCTCTTCTCCATCTATCATGATGCTGCCTATTGGCCCGGTGGTGAGGATTTTTTATTTCATGATGTTTAGATGTAACCAATATTTGATCCTCTTCAGTTAGTGCTTCAAGTCATCCTCACTTCCTCCAAGTAAAGTGGCATCAGCATCATGCAGGTTATTGATGAACCTTCCTCCAATCTTGATGCCATATTTTTCTTCATAGAGTCCAACTTCTCAAATGGTTTATTCTGCATAGATTGAATAGGTATGGAGGAAGGATACAAACCTTGACACAATCTTTACTGATTTTAAGCTATGCCATGTTCCCTTGCTCTGTTCATACCCTAACTTCTTGGTCTAGGTGTAGGTTTTGCATCAACACAATTGAGTGTTCTGAGATTTCCATTCTTCTCAATGACAGCCACAGTTGGTTAGATCCACACAGTCAAATGACTTTGCATAGTCAATAAAACACAAATATACATCTTTCTGGTATTTTCTGATTTCAGTCAAGATCCATCTGACATCATCAATAAAGTGTCATGGCTTCTTCTACATTCAGTCTGAATTTCTGGCAGTTTTCTGTCAAGGTACTGTTCTAGCCATTTGTGAATGATCTTCAGAAAGACTTTACTTGCATATGACATTAATGATATTGTTTGGTAATTTACACATTCTACTAAATTATCTCTTTTGGGGAAATAGATACAAATATGAATTTTTCCAGTTGGTTGTCAGATGTTCTGGCAAATTTCCTCAAACCAGTTTGAACACTAATGATAAAAAACAAATGAGCTGAGGGAAGATATCAAGGATATCATCTGTGAAGAAAGCAAATGGTCATTGCAAAGACAGGACAGAAAGAAAAGACCAAAATAGATGTCAAAAGAAACTCTTGAAAATGGCATTAGAACTTCGAGAAGCCAAAACAAAGGTAAGAATTACCAAAGCAAAAGAGATGAACAGAAAATGTCAAAGGGCAGTGTGAAAAGACAAAGTAATGTATGCTGATGGAGAGCTAAAGTTAGGAAACAAATAGGGAAGAATTCATATGACATTTCTCAAGCTGAAAAAAAACCTGAAAAACCATTTGGGAAAATCTTAACTTATCCAGGAAGCTTCAAATGAAGCTGAATCACTCTCCCAAAAATAATTGGCAGACACAGAACCATCTCAGGAAGTAATGTGTGATCAAGAGCCTAGGGTGGAAAAAAAAGAACCTATGATGTTGAATGAAATAGTTCAAGCTGCGTTGAAGAGAAACAAACACAAAACACCCAAAAAAACAAAAACAAGGCCCCCCAAATAGATAGGATAACAATTGACATGTTTTGACAAAGATGTAGTCCTAGACTTGTTCGCTAAGCTATGCCAGGACTTTCAATTCTTCCCTGCCACTATGACATTAATAATGTTGTTGTTGTTAGGTTTCATCATGAACAACAGATCTGAACCTTAGCCAGTCCTGCACCATCTATACCATCTCTGGCGTATTGGAGCCCTCTGGGAAAATTGCTGTGTCAATCCATATTGCTGAGAGTCTTTCTTTAACCCTCCACCTTTCCCAGCAGATGTACTTTCTCCAAGGACTGGCCCCTCCTGACAACATGCCCAAAGTATGTGAGACCCCGTTTCACCAACCTTGCCTGTAAGGAGCATCTTGGTGGGGCTTCCTTTACGACAGACTTGTTTGTTCTTTTGGTAGTCAATGGGATATTCAGTACTTTTCTCCAAAATCACAATTCAAAGACATTACTTCTCCTCCTTCTTGTTAGGTGCTGTCAAGTGGAGTTTGACTCATAGCAATCCTATTAACAGATCTGAATCTTGTCCTAATCTGTGTCATCCTTGCTATCTCTGATATACCTGAGCCCATTGTTGCAGTCACCCTGTCAGTCCATCTCACTGGGGGGTCTTCCTGTCTTTCACTGACCAAGTATGATATCCCTTTCCAGGGAATAGTCTCTCCTAGAAACATGACCAAAGTATGAAAGATGAAGCTTTGTCATCCTTGTCTCCAAGGGAGCACTCTGACTGTTCTTTCCCCAAGAGATACCTGTTGATTTAGCAGTCCATGAGATGTTCAGTCCTCTTTTCAACACCACAACTCAAAGATACCAATAATTTTTCTGTCATCCTTATTAATTGCTGAGCTCAGAAGCATAGCAAGTGTTTGGAAAGGCCATGGATTGAATCAGGCACACTTAGTCTTCAAAATGGCATCATTCATTGTTCTTCAGTATTTTGAAAGGTCCCTGACAGAGCAGCCTTGCCCAAAGCAATACTTCTTCCGATCTCCTGACTGCTAGTAACAAGGGTGTTGATTGAGGATCCAAGAAAAATGAAATCACTAACAGTTTTATTAATTTTTTATTCATCTATCATGATACTACATTTTGGCCCAGTGGTAATGACCTTTGTTTTCTTGATGTTGATATGTAAGTAGTCTTTGGTCTTCTGCAGCAAGCACTTCAGGTCCTACTCACTTAGCAAGATTGTGTCAATCTACATAAATGTAGGTTGTTTATGGGTATTCCTCTGATCCTGATGCCACAATTTTCTTCATTGTGTTTGGCTTCATGAATTATTTGCTCAGCATATGGTTTGAATAGATAAAAAGAACACAACCAGGAAGCATAGCCTTTCTGATTTTAAACCATACAGAGTTCCTTCGTGCCAATCTGACAACAGTTTCGTGATCAAGGTATAGATTTAATATGAGCACAATTAAGTGTTCTGGAATCCCATTCATCTCAATGTTAACCATAGTTTGTTGTGATCCATACAGTTAAATATCTTGCATAGCCAATTCTCCTTAGTTCATCCTTATTCATTATCCAAACTTTAGAGGCACAGGAAGCAATTATGATTTGGTTCAGGCATACCTTAATCTTTAAACTGACTTCGTTGATCTTGAAGTCGTTGGC